AGGTAATATTCTCCCAAAAAGTGTAAAGTGTATCCACTCAGCTACTGAGGAACAGGAGAGGAAGCTTCCCGCGAAATGTGACCTGAGCCGGGGGGGGCGTTTGTGCAGGCACATCCCAAAGTCAAGGGTTCTTCCGAGCACTTGCAGTTTTTCAGGGGTATTACTAATCGCGCCTCGACTCGTTTGGGACATTGGAAGTCAGGCCACGGCTCTCTGCGCGTGGCGGCGATGCAGGTCCTGCACATCCCAAAAAGGAACTTGCTGTTCGGCGACTGGGACCGCATGGCTGCAATTGAGCCGCTGAGAAGACGTGTCAAGTTGCTTCACGTCTGGTGCTAGAACGAGAAGAAACCGAGCTCTTTGGGGAATCATGCTTGAACTTGAGGTCTGGGCTACGAAAGCTAGGTCAAGGTCGGAAAAACAAGGGAGCAGCGCGAGCTGGTCGTTTTCTGCATGTATTTGGTGAAGAAAAGGCTAGGTTTTCCGATCTGGACGACCGCATCCGCTCATAGACATGAACACTGTCGCATTATGGCAAGCTCTAGGGCAGCAGCAAAAGGCTTTCGGGAACATCGCGGAGACTGTGCTCTTTGGAGTTCTTGCATTATTAGATCACACTGCCTGAGAAAACCTCCGAAGGTAGAGGTGCTGAAGGGGAGGGGGAGGGGGAAGGTTTGTAAACGACAACTCTCGCAAGCTCCAAAGAGCTAGCTTTCGTGATCTTCAGAAGCTCCTGCAGAGCTGCGCAGCTTAGAAGCCACAGAGGCACGGCGCAGTTCTCACGCAGAGGCGGCATCCACGACACGTGACTGCACTCCTTGCAGCAGGCATCAGCAGGCCGCAACAACCAAATCATCCCTACCCATCCCTTGCACCCTCTAAATCTCAAAGTTGTTTGAGGCTTGGACGCTCTGAACCAAAGCAAAGCAGGTGAGCCCATGCCCTACATACCGATGTAAAATACCCACAATGTTCCTAGATGCTAAGCCCAACATTGTAGACCCTGTTTGTGATGTCGGAAATGCTCAAGTCTGTCTTGTTCGTGGTACTGCAAGGTGGAAGCCTGAATCGCTTGCCGGCCCGACACTTCTTATACGGCTAACCCAACTTCATATTCAAAGTGATGGCTAGGCTTCGATATGCTCGGATGAGCACCTCGGACCCTCCCAACGTCGGCAGCCAGGAGCCACCATCCCAGACCCGGAACAGAACGAGGGTACAGTGCCATGCAATCACTTACTTGTCCAAGTGCAGAGGCGGGGCTGAAGGATCCGGGGTCAGGGGTAGGGGCCAAAACCAAGCCTTCAAGCAGCTGATGTACAAGGCAGCCGCCAGCAGCGCGGCATCGATACTTCCAGCCATCCAGAGGAGGGTAAATACGCCAACACCATACCTCGGCTCTGTGTGGCAGTTCTCTGTGAAACCCCTACCCAGTAGCGCTTTGAACATCGCTTGCATACTGTAAGTCTGCCTGTACCCGCAGGTGTTGCCAAGTAGATCTCAATGTGAAGGACGCCCAGTGGAACTGACAGATAATGCAACATTGAAACTGCATATTCTCACGTTGTTCCAGCGCACTTGCCATTGCTACATCCTGTCGTGTCCTAACAGCACAGCACTATCAGCAGCCCAATGACTAAGGCACAGGCAAGGCGAACACGCCGCCGCAGTAGAAGGTTGCAGCAGCTGGAAGGCTGGCAGTCAACGACTGCATACCTGTCAGTGCATTGCATCATTTGACAGCGTGCACGTATATGTAGACACAGTCAGCTAAGGACATGTTGCCGAACAGACTGACATGCTTGCGGCAACAACGCGGGAGTATGCATCACTGACTCCGCCTACCTGCAACCCATGCTCGCTTTTCAGGTTCTCGGCCTTGACCCCAGGAACATACAACTAGTGGATCAACGGCGACAATGTCATAGAAGGGAGAGAAAAGAAAGACGGATAATGACGGATAGAGTTAGAGAAAGCGCGAGGGAGAGACAGAGAGAGAGAGAGAGAGCAAAAGGGAGCGACAGACCGTCCGGGCCGGTGAGCGAGCGAGCGAGCTAAGCAGAGGGAACCATGGTGGCAAGGCCTTGGTAGAGCAGCGCCAAACCTCGGAGAGGAATGCCATACTACGTCGCCGGTGCCACCATGCGATCAGCATGACTCATCCTCGCCGCTATTAATAACAGCAGGAGCCACCGCAGAACGTGTTGACCAGTCGCTGCTAGCAGCAATCTTGAAGGTATCGGAAAGGCGTGACGGAAAATGTGAGCAAGAGTAATAACAAGAATAGTCATGCGGTCAGACGCGTTTTTCGAAATACCACACGCCATGTCACGCCCGCAGTCTGTCATGAACGACCTCGAAACACATTCACGATGGTGACCTCGGATGGAGCCTGCGGAGGTGCTCCGCTGCTAGTTAAGGTGGCGGATATGTGTGACAGTTACACCCTGCCCATGAAATATGTAACCGCCGTCGAGGCAGGTCATGATGGCGACAAAGCAGCCAGATTGGCCGAGGAACACTTGCCCAAGCAGCTTAATCTGAAACTGATTGGGCAAAAGTTCCTGCGGTAGTCTCTTGCCCAGAACTCAACCGTGGCGTCGGGTCTAAACTGTGTCCCTTGGCAGTGGTTCTCCAAAAACCGCAGCTGTGACGAAATCGCACAGCACTCACGAAGCTACATGTCATCCCTGTGACATTTATGTTGCAGGACGTCCCAATATCTCAAAGTTTCTTCGTGAATGAAGCTCTTCTACCGGAATGCTGTTGCACAAGTGCCCCAGTGGCTGGGCTGCCGCTCTCGAACTCTTTAGGTGTAAGGGCCCAGGCCCACTATGTGCAGATGTATATTTGCATGTGTGTGCGGGCACAACTCATGTACTGATGTAAGCACATCACATGTTCCACGACTGTTGAACATCACTTCGAGCGGAAAGCCATGGCTCCGGAAACACACGATATCATGCGATGTGCTGAGACGTCGAAACACGAGGCTGGTCTAAGGCCGGAGCACAGCTCCTGGTAGATGTTGAACCTTTGCCTGGGATCGGAAGCAGGACGAGCCCAACTTCTTCACCCAACTGGTGGGCATCCTGGACATACTTCCACTATGACTACGACCACTCCGACTGCGCCCTCCGACCTACACCCTACGGCTACTACATCAACATCTACATGCCATGAGTTCCAGCATCTAAACCGAGGCACAGCGCATTGATAGAGCTTGGTGCCTGCGGCGGAAGGTGAGGAGCCTAGACGGTGTTGCTCCGAAACACTCAGACCCACGACCGGCCTCACTGTACCTATCAACCAAGAAACCGTCGGACGAGTCGAGGAACTGCCTGCACAGGCGACTTCCATGAGTGTGGGTGAATGGGAAAACGAACAATCAGGGTGTGAGCAGTCAAGTGCATCAGAGGGACTGACTGTAAGGAATTTCTCCCCATAAGCATCCTGCGGGCATCCTGCACCTTGCTACCAGTAATATGGCCGTAAAATAACAATAACTGGGCACATGTCGATCCCTATGCCCTAGACCGCCCTTGGCCTGCAAAAACACTTCCGCTACGTCACTCCCTGAGACCTAAACGGGAGGATTCGGCAGCAAGAACTCCAAATCTTCCACAAAGCCCCGTAAACCCCAGGTGAGACCCTAAAAGTCCAGTAAACCCCAATTGAGTCCCCAGAAGCCCAGGCACCTGTAGAAGGAGTAGTAGAAGGCATTCTCCGATCCGAAGGAGTCTGCCACCTGACAAAGATCGGACTCAAAATCAACAGAGTTCGTCGGAGGAACACCTTTTTCAGGGTGACTTCTCTAAGCATAGTAAGAACCTTGTTCTGAAGTGTAAGAGTTCAAACACTATCTCATCTACATCTATACATACATACGACATATATATATATATATATATGTGGGTGTGTGCACGTGTCTGTATACACACGATGAGGCTTTCGACCAAGCAAGCCACGTCGCTCGAAGTCTGGCGGCCAAAGAAGATAGATGCTGCACCTTGTCAAGGCAGCAGCCAGTTTAGTGAATCCATAAGATTGGGACTGCACGTAAAGGCCAAATCCACGGCCCGAAGAAAAGAAAAACATATTATTAATTTAGCTCTGTGTATGCTCTGTGTTGGTAACCCTGACGAATCCGCGGGATCTGCGAATGCACGAGTAGAGCACCAGCAGACAACGACGAAGGCCGTGAGCACACACACCCGACCGCACGCGCACTGGCGCTGGTTAACTGACAGGCTCAAAGCCCATGATTCTTGCCAGAGCGCGGGCAGCGATCCATGTGGACAGGAGCAAGACCACAGGAAGTCGTCCTCCCTGCACCAGAGCCACCAGATGCCACCAGTGCCACACATTCTCAAGGCACTTAGGTGCCGTCTAGCTTTGGGTGCAGAACAATGGCGACCCACTGCCGAGCCTCGGCCAGCTTGCTTCCTTCTTTCACCTTAGCAGGTGTTGTGGCTCCGGCCAGGCCACCTTGCTATCGGTTTAGGGATGTTGAGACCGGGAGCCAAACTGGAGGCTGACCCTGGCACGACATGGAGCCCACCTGGCAAAGCTGGCCAGCACTTGCGCTTTTGACAACCTATTCGTGTCATTACTACATTCCACTACATGACGGAGTCTACAGTGGGCAAGGCAAGGTCATCTCGGCACAAAGTTCGGAGTAACCGGGCAAAGGATCGCGCTATGCCCGGCCTCCCAGTCCGAAATACTGCGATAGCTCTTCGAAGGAGCGGAGGTTCCCAAGGCAAGTCTCACATTTGGGTTCTGAAGCAAGAGCGGCAGAACCTGCAGTTTGAAGTACAACTTCAGGAAGACAGTGACAAGCAGCTGCAAACATGACAGTTGCACAGATCTTTCCTCCAGCAACGCTGCATGCCGAGAGATTCCTTCCAAGGTGACAGGTCAATGCATACACGACACGCTCAGTACAGACTTAGTACCTCATAACACGAAGCCGAGAGCTTTCATGTTCTTTGAAAGATTGGCGGGCAACTTGTGTCTGTCCTTCGCAAGGCGCAGGCCACCCGGCACGTGCCGCTTCATGCAGGAAGGCCTACATAATTATGCCAGCCTGACAACATCTGACAATCGCTATCTGGTTTGCGTGAAACACATGCAGTATCATGCGGTGGTGTCACGCGCTGCTGCTTTGAAGCCACAATGCTCAACGTAACAAGACTCAGATTCAATCCAAATCCGTAGCAGAACATACAGATCAGATTCCTCAAGCTGGCCACAGGATCGCAGCTAAGTCTGCCTTTGTCAC